CCAAGATGCATTATGTAAAGGTACAATTTCCCATGAGAAATGTAATTGTGTTGTATACCTACAATGTACCAATAAAAGAATTTAATACAAAAAAATTTAGTTTATGTTGGATGCTGTTGTTGTTGATTGAGGGAACAAAGTTCTTGCTATTAATTTTTTTCTCTATGTGTCAATATCTGGATTACATAAGAGTCATAAACAATAGTGCTGTCTATTCCTAAAATACTGAGTGCTAGGCCAAATTAGCTGCAATCTCCCTTTCCAAAACAGAGGTGGTTGGATTTTGGCACAGAGCCAAAAGCCAATATATAGCTGTGCTCAGAGAACATCTCTGGGAAGTAGATGTTAACTGAATAGGTCTCCCTACTTGCAACAGTGCTACCCACTATAATCATTCCACAAACCTCAGCACAGTGCACAAACGCAAAATGGATCCCAAAACTCTAAACTCCCCCAAAGCCAATCCCAGGGACATCAGAGGAGTTGAAATCAAAGATCCACAGAAGAAATATCTGAAAAGACAGCAATGGAGGCAAAAACAAATAAACAAATAAACAAACAATCCACCCCAAAGATAACAATAAGGTGTTTGGTGAACTCAAAGAAGATATACTTAAATACGTGATGATCTTAAAGAAATAAATGATCAGAGCCTAGAGAAGACATAATAAAAAGCTAGAGGAGCTTAAGAAACAGATGCAAATCATGAATACCCAGAACAGAAGAGAATTGGAGTGCATAAAAATTTCCAAACAGAAAGTAGTTAGCAGAAGTAACCAATGTGAGGAAAGAGGGTCATATCTAGAAGACAGGGCAGTGGTCAGTGATCACTTAATTAGAGGCATCATGAAAACAACAAGAAAACATGAAAAATAATTCAATATCCCTGTCTTGTTCTGAGACACCATTTGCACATTGGTCACTTCTGTTGCCCATACTTTCAATAGAATTTTTAATCTCCTGAATTTCTATTTGGAGCAATTTTTTGGACTTCAATTCTTTCTTATTCAAATCATGGATGTGTTTCTTTGTTTTGTTTAGTTCATCTATATTTTTTAATCTTCATTAGACTCATTTATGATTTGGCTGAATATCTCATGACTTCTATGTTCTGTGAGTGTGTCAAATGTCTTATTGATCTGTTTTGTTATCTCCTCTGATATCAACTTGAATAATTCAGGGATGCATTGTTTTGTTTCCACCCCTTCAATGCCCAAATAGGTCAGCTTTGGGTAGTTGGGAGTTTTTGGAGAAATTTTGTTGATTTGTTTTCAAATCTTTCTATGTTTTTGTTTGCTTACTCATTTGTTTTGTTTTGGTTTGTGCTGAGACTTGTGAGTTAATACCATTGGAAAGTTTTCTTTCTAGTAGACAGAATTCTTTAGGTAAAGTCTCTTTTTCCATGGTGTTCTCTAGGCTAACTGGCCTTTACTTCTGTCCCAGAAACCAGTCACTTCCATTTACCTAAGAAGGAAGATAGCAGTGCATTTGGCCCAGTACACTTTTGTCCTGGAATTGGCCACAGTATTATTAATGACTCCACGGTAATCTAGACTTTGGCATCTCAAGAAACCTAATTAATAGCTATGTCACCTTGCCTATAGTAATATAATCAGCATCAATTATAATATCAAATGCATTATCTATTATACCTTTTTAAAAAGTGCAATGGGGAAGGGGAAATGGGAGGGGTAGGGAAAGGAAAGAAGGGAATGTAATTAATATGAGAAAAAGAAAAAATGGATACAAAGTCTTTGTAAATAGGAAGGGATGGAGGGGTTGAAGGGGCAGGAGAAGGAGGGAAAAATAAGAGACGAGATGGATTATGTAAAGGTGCAAATTTCCAATGATGAATGTCATTATATTGTATACCTTAAATGTACCAATATAATTAATACAAAATTATAATATCAAATATAAACTAAATATTGACAAACATAAGAATCAATAAATCATCACTCTTGTCCATAGAAAAGTATGAACACTAAGACAAGCTGACTATTGGCCTCCCACTGATACACAGTAAATAGCTACTACATGAAACAACTTTATGTCTACAGTAAGTATCCACTAAATGGAGCAGATTTACATATACATAGTCTATGTACAGTATTCATCAGCAATATCATACAATTAAACTAGCCATGTAGAAAATCATAAAGCTTAGAAGTCACACTAGTAAAGGTGGAGATAATGGGGAACTGGAGCATAAAAAAGTAAGATTTCCATAATTAATCAATGAAATATGAGCACAAGAGAGAGGAAGATGGGTGGTCCTATTGAGGAGTAGAAGGAAATAGTGATACAAAATAGTTACTGGGAAGAACAATCAAGATAAAGAAGAAAAAGATAAAGAGCACAAAAACAAATAACAGATAAAAAGGAAGAGAAAAAGTTGGAAGGGAAAAAGAAAAGAAGCTAAAAGAAAGGAGGAAGAAAATACCAATACCCTAATGAAGAAAAGAGAAAAATAAAAGAAAATGAAAAAACTTTAAAAAATGACACCAACAAAAAATAATTGCTGTTATTGAATGAATGGTTTCTTCCCAACATCTGTGGTCTTGGGATCCAGCTGGTCATGAAATTCTACGCCTTGCTTTTGGACTTGTGGGTCTTTAAGGTGCTCTCCCTGCACTAGAGGGCTCTGTTTGTGCTCCCAGACTGTGGCTACCGTCCAAGCCACGCCCTGTCCTCGCTCACTGTGGCAGATGAGGAAAACTATCAGATCAGTGCTCTGTTCCCCGCTGGTGTAAGCCACAGACGGGGTCGAGTGAGGTTTGACTTAATGTCCTCCCTCAGCCATGGGATCTGGTTGCTCCCTTCTCCCCGTGGTGTTGTCCTCATCCAGGATCCCCACAGTTGGCTGGTCTCTGCCCCTGCTTCTTCGTGCTGCTCCATGGGGTGGGCGCTGTTCTCCATTAGGGTTGGCTCTCATGTGGGGGCTGGGAGCTGCTCACCTCCGTGTTCCTTTCCAATAACATTAAATATTCTTGAATCATATAGGTTTAACAAGAATGATAGTCAGATAACACAAATAATTTAAATTTCTCTTCATGTAAAATTTTTTTTACTCTATCCACTTTGATTTTCCATATAAATTTTACAATCAGACTGCCACTTTCACCAAAGACTTTGCCGTGATTGAATTCACGATTGAATTTTGAGAAAATTACCATTTTCACTATATTGTGTCTTCAGAGACAAGAAACAATATACCTACCTCTAAATTTATTTAATTAATGAGAGCATGACACTATTTTTCTTTGTAGATTTCTTTTGCATATTTGTTATATTTATTTCTTGTATACTTTTGGTGCTACTGTAATGGAATTTTAAAAATTACTTTCCCAAATCTGATGGTAGAATATAAGAATATTATTTCACTTGTTCTAGTAGGTTGGGAGATGCCCTGGAGTTTCTGATGTGATCCACAATTAGCTACAAATAGGGTCAACTCAGCTACTTCTGTAAGATCCTCACTCGTTCCTGACACAAATACAGAGATGTGGAGCAATGGAAAAAAAACACAGGAAGCAGAAAAAACCCAGAAAAATTCAGGTATTTGATCTTAACAAAGGGGCGAAAAACACACTGGAGGAAAGATAGACTCTTTAATGAATAATGGTGGAAATATTGATCAATTAGATAAATACAAAGAATTAAAGATTTGATATTATGCTATATTCTGCCTCATTATTTAGCTTGGTTTTAAAATAAATATTATATACATCATTATATATATATATCTTCCATATTTTCACAAAGAATTATAGGTTCTTCAAAGGAATAGATAATTAATCTTGCTACCACCTTGTTGTAATTTGCTGGTATCAATGATTATGTCTACTGAATTAACACCTCAATAACTTTACTATAAAACTTGTGGAGAACTTTCTAAACTTATATGTACATAACCAATGTTAAAGTATTATTTCATAAAATGCTATATTCTGTGTACATATACATTGTACATGTCATTAAATTAGTTATTACAGTCTTCACATATTTATCCAACATTAATGGTCTTATTCTTCTCAGTTTGATTTTTATTAGCTTTTCTGAAGTCTGATATAAAATTAACAGTATAAAACAAAAGCATATAAATTGATAAATATCAATGTGGTCCTCTAAATTCTCTTTCTGCATTTGCTGTGTGATGCTTTCTTCTCACTTCTTCTTGGCCTTGGTCTATTCCCATAAAATCAATGAAGTACATCCTGTCCTTCAGAGTTTGACACTGGATAAGAGCTCCAGTTTTTATGACTATGATTAGAACAGAAGCCTCTCTTTCTTCAAAGAGTTATACTATTAAATTGTCTATTATGTACTTGTCACCTAATGCAACAAAGTAATGTTTCACAGAAGAAGCATAACTAGGTATACTTCAGTGATCCAACAGAAATTCAAACTATTTGCTAATCTGAAGGGAAATTACCATCACTGAACATTTACTGTCTTTCCCACCTGGATGTGAACCACTTGATCATTCGCTGTTCAGTGCTTATTAGCACCAAAGGACAGATTGTGGCATAGCCATTGCCCACAAGCATCTGGATACAATGACGAATCGGGACATTGTCCCATGATATTCCAGAGGAGAAGAAGGTGGCACAGTCCAAAATGTACATGAGTATAAAGAAACCCATGAGCAGCAGAATGGTCCAGGTGGCCCTTTCTTCAGGGGATGCCTTTGGAGAAAGGCTGGTGCTGTGAAGATGCTGGAACTGCCTCTTATGCCTGCACAACAGAGTCACCATGTATCCGCTTGAGAGAGCCATCAGCCCTATAAAGGAGATATCCTGAAGGTTCACCAATGTGAAAAATACGTACCTGAACAAGTAACTAATGGGCCACTGAGAGCAGGACTCAGTGACGAACACGAGACTGTGTGAAGTCACATTGGGGGTGGCACCAATGGAGACTAAGAAGCGACCGTTCAGGAGCATATTGAAGACCCATAAAAAGACAAGGCAACATGGGTAGTGATGTGAGGATTTATGTTTGAACTTTGCCAAACAAGAGTTCCTGGGGCTGAGGGTGATGGCCTGGAGGACACTCAGCAGGCAGGTGGTACAGATGGAGAGGGCCCTCATCAACCTGTACACATAGATAACTGATTTACATATGAGATCACTTCCCCAACCCTGGAAACCAAAAGTGTCTGCAGCTATGAATCCCATGGTTACCAGCAACACCAGGTGGATTAAGGCCAGCTGACTGATACCCAGGTCCAGGGGCTTGGGCCTGTGCTTGAGAAGAAATGTGAGGATGTGGAACAGAAGCAGGGCAGTGTTGGCTATGATCCCAATGGTGACTTCAAAGAAAACTGTGTTTCTTATGTCTGAAAGACTGGAAAATTTTCTCTTTTTATTCACCTTGATAGAGAAAGAGAAACAATAAAAGTCTGAGGAGAAAAGCAAGGAAAATTCTTTGTCACAAATATCACCCCTGTCATCAATCTCATCAGCACTATGCCTTCTTCAGAACATGTGGATTCCTCCCTGTGCCCCTCTCCCCTTCAGAAGTCAGGTCCACCTCACACCTTCCTGGATACACTGCTGTTCTCTCCCCTGTCTCAGAGCTTTCCAGTGGTTGCCTGGATTATGTGTTTTATTTCTGTTTTCCCACAGCAACTCTGTAAGCAAACCGTCATGTAGTATGAAAGGTATTTCCTTGTTTCTGTCTCAATTTTCAGTTTTCAAAATCAGACACGATGTTTTATGTGTTTTTAGGTGTGCAGAAAGTGGATGAAGTGCTGGGCATATAGTAAGAGCTCTACATTTTTTTGTAAAAGTTGGGAAAAGTGAATTGTCATATATGGAAATAAGATCCTCCCAAGTAGTAATTGTTGATGAGATAGCCATGCACAGTTATGTTATTTCAGTGCTATCTTTATTCTGGTTAATTGTCAGAACAAATATTCATAGACAAAACATTGCTCAGTAGGTTCTACAAACAAGTGGCTCCAATTAACATCTCTGGTCTGACATTTCTCAAATGCATAACTTGAAAATCAGTGAACACATCTGGGCCACAGTTACCTGATCTGTAAAATGTGGATAATTATATCACTTCTTTCCTAGAGATATTATCTGTACACATGTTCCTAACATGGCATAGAGATGGAATGTCAATTATAGTTATTATTATATAGTTTCTTATTCTTGAGTAATTTGATACAGTATATAAAATAACCCACATCTAGTGCACCAAAATGACCATGGAGAAATAAATACAAAAATACTAGACTCTTAATATACTCTAATAAGACACAAGAAATTAAAAAGGCTGTTTCAGAAATTTCTACAACTCCATAGCTCATATATTTTAGAAACTTATGCCAAAAAAAACTGAGTCTCAGTCATCAGCGTGAGAGGTGTTATCAGGATCACACATTCCAGATTTCATTTCACTTATAATGAGAATAGTATATATAACTGTATTTTAAGGAAATTGTAATGATTCTTTCCTAAGGTTTTAATTAAATGAATGGGAAACATTTCAGCTCTCAAGGTGGTTCACCACCAGTCCAAAATTTTATGCTTTTCTCAATCAAGAAAGAATTTTTCTGCAGAGCTATGGGCTCATGCGTAAATTTTATATGGAAGAATTTGGTGATTACCAATTGGTAGAATATTTCCCAGTGTGATGCTGCTATTTGCTTTAAATGGAGCCTTTACAGAGGTATAATTTGAGAGTCCTCACATGGTAACGCGGGTGCAGACACATATTCTTATAGATTTATCACCTGGACATCATAGATTAAGGCTAGATTTTGGCACCTACACAGAACAGTGCTTTATAAGTGACTGAGGAAAATATGAAATATTTATGGACCATGAACTAATGATCACATTGAAGAATACAGAGGTAAGTGTGTACTTGCTCTAAATCCTGTGGAAATTTTGATTTATAAAAATAGAAATTTCCTAGTAAGAATGAAAAAACTCAATCTTTTCCAAAGTATTGACAAAGGGAAGTTACACAATTTATATGATGAGGTATGACATAAAAATATACACATCTGACTATCAGGTGCCTCTGACTCTTGTGGATCATGTGCTGCCACTAAGTGCACTTCCTCAATGGTTTTCTTGGTCTTTCATGTACTTACGAATAAGAGATTCCAATTTTCTGTACATCTATTTCATGTAAGTTACAAAATATATCCTGGCAATATTTTAAAGAAATAACATACAACTGGCATATAGAAATGTTTAAAGATAATATTTTAAAAGAATTACTTGAAAAAATTAAATATTAATCATAAACCTATCTCCTCATGTTATTACTGCAAAATTGATGCTTTGCTTTAATTCTGCTTTTAAGAATCGAGTCTGGCATAGCATATAAACTTGTAAAACTGACCAAGTTACATGTTGGAATCATCCATAAACAGAGGGCTAGAAATACATTATTTTCACCATTGCTTAAGAACTATGGTCCTACAAGCATGAAGGACTGAGGAGGGAGATGTGTGTAGATACTCTAAGTGTACTCAACACTCAGGATGTCAGGGGGCCCCTGGGTCCTTACCTGAAACTGACAAATCTTCTTTGGAGTAGAAGAGCTATCTCCTTTCTCCAGAGGCATAATCCAGGAAAGCACTGCATTCAAGAGCACTCATTTTTTTTTTTATTAATTCCCATGGACCATCTGAGAGGTGACAGAACATAAGGACAACCATCCTGCCATCTCCAAATTTTGTGGACCACACAAAACTATATCAGCAAAACACACACCAAATATCTTTGTCCTGTATTTGTCTATAGATATTATATGGAAAGATACAAAGCTAATATTTTTCTTGAATATACATTCTGGAGAATGTGACACATGAAAACAGGCTGGTGTAAAACAGAAATGGTATAGGAGTGTGTTCCCTCCCAGCCACGCCTCACGAAGATCACACTTGCCAGGCTCAGCACAGCTTAGGGGAATGGGGGACAGGACAGCATCTCATTCCATCCACAGGATGATCTAGAAGACCCCCCCCCCAATTCAGCTCTTAGGAGTGATAATGCCAAGACAGCACTTGGCTCACTCAAAATATCAAACACGGGGGGCTCATTTCTAAGTGAGAGAGAACAAGCTGCCCTCAGTGTAATCTGCCTATCACACAGGATGAAATGATTCCTAGTGACAGGATGTATGTGCAGACGTTGGACAGGTTAAAAAATAAACAAATAAGTAAATCTCAATGGTAAAGTAACATAAAAAAAAGTCTACCTGAGGTCACATTTTGATGGCCACATCAAGAAGAAGATAGGCCAAATGGGGAGCTTATGGAAAATGAAACATGAATGTAGTAAAAAATCTCAAAGAGAAACTTCTGTGGTCATTTTGAAGGAATGACCATTGTGAACTTCCATAACTCATAGTGAAGGCTAGGATACGCTCTGAAAAGTGCAACACAGTACTTTTATTACTCTGATCAAGGAAGGATTCACCACAGAGACAGTGTTATCTTGCAATTACTGAGGTCAGGGACAATCCTGTGATACATGGTGTCATCAGAGGGTTCAGAAACCAGTGAAGAAAGCTCAGGTCAATGCAACCCACCCCAGAGGTCAGGAGAGACCTGGAGTACAGTGAGAGGGAGGGGCCTCAGCAGACACCCAGTAAATGTGGGCACTTATGGCCTTCAAGTTGGACAAATTACAGTGAGGAAAGGGGCTACGTATTTGATTTTTCATCAGTAAAATGAACATAATTTGCATATTACACAGGATGAGATGATGCATAATACTAGGATTCATGTGCAGCACTTAGCCAGGTGCCTTTGAGGCATGAGAGAGCATACTTTGGTTGTTTTTCCTGTACTTTATAGGTCACCTTCACCATCATGGGAACCGCTATTGCCTTGTCTATAATTTAAGGAAAAATAGAAAAATGTTCCGTGAGCTGAGACTCTTTCATGAGCATGGGAGTGGGATAGTTTTGTGGGAATATTAGTCTACTTGCTATAATTTTGACAGAATTTGAGCTGGAAAACTATAAAAAAGAAAGTCACAAGCTAGATAGACAGTCCCAGCTCATGGCACAGCTCTGGTGAGGTGCACGGCTCTAGGAGAAGGAAGAGAAAGCCCGAGAGCTATACGAATACATGTATGACAGCCATGTACTTTTAAAAATGCAGTAACATTACCTTTTCTGAAAATTTAGAAGATGCTAAAATATACATCTTGGTGCTCATTTATCCATAGCTACTTATAGAATTAATATGTTTCTATCTATTTTCATAAAAACCAAGAGAAAATGATTACTATTTCAAAGTAAAAAAAATTAGCAAAATCCCAGATATACCTCATCACAAATATGAAGTGCTCATCCCTCCCAAATACTCATAGCTCTCCCCTAGAGTAAAAGAATGACAGTTTTGTGTTTTGCAAGATAGTTTTCAGATCCATTAGTCTTCATATCTTTGAATTATCTTAACAAGAAAGGAGAATAGTTAACATTTATCTGCTGGTAAAAATACTTAACCAATGTGGGGTGTGTCTAATACACACACACACACACACACACACACACACACACAAATAGAGATCAGAACAGAGGAAAATATTTGGTTCTAAATCTTTCTTCTATTGAAAGAGGTTCTTGCATATTCACTGTGAATGAAAGCAGAAGCAATATTTTTAAGATGAAGTAGAGAAAATATTCATGAGACATTTATTTCCTCTCAACAAAGTCTCATACATTATATTCTAAGACCTCAACTAGAAACACAGAAAAATTTTTCCCATCATCAATTTTTAGTACTTTTCATGCAGTTGCAGTCCAACATTCATTATTATCTGACATGAAATTTCCTAACAGGTAGAGCACACGCCTAAGTGCTGACACCATTTATGTGAAGTTTGTGAAATGAACACTGGGTCAAGCATGCTCTTTGTGAGAAAATACTCACTCATATTTTGTAGGAAGGAGGTTAAACTCTCTTTCAGAGCTGATGCTTAAACAAAGAACCTCATTGCATACTATGTAATAATTTATTCAAATGTTTTAATTAATTTATACAGATGAGAGAAGAGAAACTGAGTGTGCATAATGAAAACCCAAAGTGCAAATTTAACTATTTTATAAGTGGTGTAAATACAAATATAGAAGCTGCAGACTAAAATGACAATATCTTCCTTGAGAAATGATATAGCAAATAAAGCACTGCTTCAGAGAAATAAACACACGCTTGAGGTTTATTTAGTATTTCCTATGAAAAATTCACCAACTTTATGAGTCACAAATTAAAGGTTAATGGGTACAAAATCTGCGTCTACAGAAACCTCAGCCAAAGCCCACTGGCCTCCTTCCATAGCCTGTCTTGGACTCTGCTCACCCACTGACACTGCATCTGTGGACAGAGAGGCACTTACCCAGGGGGACATGTTGGCTGTCTGGTGCTCCTGAGAAAACCCTGCACAGCTTTAAGAAAAGGAAGTCATGAGCTCACCTCTCTGCAGACCTGTCATTTTAGC